ATGGCACAAAGCTCCAAATTTAGTGGGTGTCACGATGAAAGCCCTCTCTGTGGCTTGTGCCTTCTGCCCTTGCAGCGTCACGAGGTTGCTTCTGGCCGTGGGAAGCTGCAGCCCCCTGCTCACCAGAACTTCATGGAGTCATGGAAGGTCAGAAAAGACCTCTAAAAATCATTGAGTCCAACCACTAACCTGACACTGCCAGGTCCACCACTAAACCAGGTCCCTAACGACCACATTTACATGGTGTTTTGAACGCTTCTCACTGCTCTTTGTCCTGCAGGAGCCCCAGCTGAGAGAACCTCCCCATCCCTGACCACTCACCAAACAGCACAGGAAAAATAGAGACAGAAACTGTCACAGTCAGTCCTTTAAACAGCATTTCAGCTCTTCGGTTCATACCACATCTTATATAATTTTTGTATAGTAAGAAGGAAGATGGTATTTTTCTCCCCAGCTCTACCTTCTCAAACAGGGTTGTTTAACACAAAAATTAAAGTGGTTTTGGGTATGGCACATTTAGGCACTTCTAAACTGGAGCTGTGGTATGGGCAGAGCACATCCCTCCTGCCTCTACCCAGTTTCCTCAAGGATCTCTAGAGCAAAACACTCACAAGGCTCCAGCACAACTCTACGATAAATATACAATTAGAACCATAAAACCTGATGAAGCTCAGACAAACTGTTCCTAAACCTCTGGAATAACAACAGAAAGCACCTTCACTCTGGGTTGTGGGACACCCTCACACCAGGTAATTCTAGGAGGGAAAACAGGGATTTTCTTTTGGTTAAGCCCTGATGGCAGATGGAGAGGGTTTGGGAGGGAGATGGGTGGCACTTCCCCAAACCCCCACCACGCAGTAGGACCTGCAGGACTCCCATGCAGAATCAGGCTTGAGCCTGCCCTGTCTCACAGACTGCAAGAGAAAGACTTGGTGGATTTGTTTGGGAATTCCAAGCCCAAAGGAACTGCTCTCTGACATGTGGAGTATCCAGCAAAGCCCTGGGGGTTGCAGTGGACATAGCACAGGTAGCTGGAGAACAACAAATGCCAGATGACTGTGCACGGCTCAGAGTGGAAAAAAAAGGCGAGGTTTGCTCAGGAGCTCTGTGTGAAGGAAAGGGCAGGCATTGCAAGAATTCAGAAACAACATCCTTAGGTGGAGATGGGCCAGTTATGGAAGAAGCTGAGCACGTAAACAGGCTTTGGACAAGGAAGTTGGCAGGAGGGTGTGAAATCTCCTCGGAGGGTTGGGGAGATTTCACACTCCTGCACATGGGGAATGGACCAAACCGGGCCACCCAGATTCCTGCAGAGTTCAAACCCTCTGTGGTGTTCAATCCCCAGATCTGAGGGTGATTGCTGCTCATTCCAGAGCACTGTCAGGCTGGGAGCAGAACTGAGGGTGAGGTGGATCCTCAGGCTCACAACCTGCGTGTTTCTGTCTGTGTCACTCCCTGTCAGCTCAGAAGTGGGAAGGGAGCAATTTCTGTGCATCCACAGGTGGATTTTCTTCGTGCTTTGCCCTGCTACTGCCTGGACCACCTGGAGATAAAGCTGAAGGCACCTGGGCTTGGGGCTTGAGCCCCAATAGCACAGGCAGGATCTCACCTCCAGAGAGCATCACCCTGTAATAAGGATGAAACCCCACTCACTCCATCCTCCCCAGCCCTGCAGAGCCCCCAGAGGGGCCTCAGGGTGCTGCAGTGGGTCCTTGGAGACAGGGCAAAGGGACCACCCAGCCCAGCATCGTGGAGAAGAGGACAAAATTTGGGATATCTAAACCCCAACAGCTCCTCTCTGCACTCACAGGGGCACAGCACAGCAGAGGGATCCTCTCTGGCTATAAATAACCTCCGTCACTCCCCATGGCCTGAGCCCCAAAACACCCCAGAATTTGAGGCCTGAGCCCCAAAACACCCCAAAACTTTCTCTCCCCCAGATGGGGAGAGAAAAGACATGATTTATAAAGTAAATAACAACCAAAGTGCAACCCCAGCCTCCCTGGAAATGCTGAGAGCAGATGTTTCCAGCCGTTCTCCCATCACAGCCACCATGAATGATCACCAAACTCCTTGTCACAAGCCTTTAGAGCAGCTCTCTGGGATTAAATCAGTATATTGCACGGTTCCAGTTCCTTTCATCCAAAGATCTTCTAATGATTTACAAACAATTCTTTAATTAACTCTCCCAAACAGGCCCTGGGGTACCGTTACTGTATCTGTTTTGCCACCAGGGAATCGAAGACGTGGCACTGCTGAAACAGCCTGAAAAAAGGTTGCAGAAATCTTATCAAAGTTCCTCCAACAACAAATATATATTAAGAAGAGACTCTGCTTCTCTGCTGATTGTAAAACCCTCAGGTTAACCATTTTTTTTCTCCTCCTGGAGACGTGGCCCCAAATTGCCTCTTCCCGCCCGTGTCAAGATTAGTATTCAGTGGATAAAATGTTGGTTTTTTAAAAAAATTCACATCTTTGACAGCTTGTCTTCAACAAACACAGACTCCCAGCACCAGGGAACTACCAGTACCAGGGAGCCAGCCCAGCTTTGGGAGTGAAAAGCAGTGTTTTGGCAACAAGGATTTAAAACCCATCAATCTGCGGTGTGTTTTGATCCGGGCAAAGGGTTGATCTCCAGTAAAAGCCCTTCCTGTTCTTTTCTGCCCCCAGGACAGGTTTGTGCTGTGGCTCTTTTGAATCCTCTGCAAATAAAAAGAATTGGTTTTCTCTTCCTGATGCAATTTTGTTATCAGACCCCCCCTGTGGGAATACAAGATGCAATATGGGGAAGGAGTAAATAAAATTAAACATCCCGTGAAGACACTGTAATGGGTAACTTGAGCCACTCACTGGCTGGCTGAATTTACAGATGTTGTTTGCCCAATGCCATGTTTGCTGCATCACTTGTACACTCTCGTCTGAGGCTGATTTTATCCTGATTTAAGCAGGGGAATAAGGGGAAATCTCTGCAGAATCAGGGTTTTGGGATGACACAAGCCTGGAAGTCAGTATTTCTAGAGCAACAGCTGTTGCTCTTACCCAGAAGAGCTGCCTTTAGAAACTTCAGCGACCTTGGGTTGATTCTGCTCTGCCCCACTCACAGAGGTTGACACCTTCCAAAAACATGCTCCAAAATCCCAACTTCCCGCTCACCCACCCATTTCACATCTAGTTTAAGCAGAGCAAATCATGCAAGCTCCATCCCAGTTTCTGAAGATACTCAAAATCTTGCAGTTTCACTCACAGAGTCAACTTCTTCCCATTTAAGGAGGGGAAAAAAAAAAAAAAAAAAGATGAATGTTAAGCTTTGAGTAGCTCAGATGATCGCAGAGATACCAGCCTTGGAGTTAAGCAGTGCTGGGACTCTGAGCCCAAACACTCAGCAAACAGGGATGCCTATTTTGGCCCCTAAGGAAGAAAATTCTGGTGCCAATACCCAGGGAGCAACATAAAAGCGTCTCTAAGGAGCTTATTTCAAAACTTAAGAGCAGCAACGAATGACAGAAAACGCTGTTTTCGAGGATTTAGTTAATTAATTTCTGAGAAAGGTGTAATAGGATCACTTGAGAGTGTTATAGAAACAGGTCCCCCCCCTACATCCTCCCACTAAAAGCCTGTTTTGTCCCGATCCCAGAGTATTTATTGCCTCGTTCTGAAAAACAAAACAAAACCTTCTGAGAAGGCAAAGTCAGCTAAACTCGGCTAAATTCTGGCCAGCACAAGAGAAATTGCTTTAACTGCTCCTACTTTATGCCAGTGTTAATGACACTCAGGCTTCCTGAGCTTTAAGGGGAGGAGAAATCTCTTTTAAAGCCCAGGTTGGCATCAGGGAGAGATCGGGGCTCACACCTGCTCACCCAACAAACGCCGGCACCGCGAGTTCCATGAGAGGAACAGGAAAAAAACCCAGAGATTTCAGCCAGACCTCTGGGAATTCACCCCACAGTTAAATCCCCGGGGCCCTGCCTCCACTTGTGCTTTTACCTCAGGAGCCTCCTCCAGCTTTTGTTACCTTGAATAAAAGCACATTCAGCTCAGCAGAGGCTCTTTTGGGAGACAGGAGTTGGAGCAAGATTTCACCTTCTCCTATTTTATTTCATATTTTATTTTATACTATTTCATTTTATTTTATTCCCGCCTCCCTTGTCTTCCCTGATTACAGGGAAGAAACACCCCACTCCTCCCTACCTTTATTCACTTTCCAAAGAATCAGTGCATTTCCTTTCCCAGCTACTTTTCCATGTGTTTTTTTGGCCACCTCTCCAACGAAACACCCCACCGAAGACCCAGACCTCCCACTCCATCACCCACCACACCCTGAACTCCCAACACCATCGCAGGACCCCGGGCACTATTTCCACTCCCAAACCTTCCCGACACGACAAATCCCGCCCGGCTCCACCGCTGCCCCGCAACGAGGGGTCTCCAGCTTAACCTTTTTCCAACTCCTCCATCAACTTCCAACAGGGAATTGTCTCCTCTTCCCCCCCCCCCCATACTCTTTTCCCACGCCATCTCCACGGGCAGAGGTGACGGCTCATGTTCGGTACGTGCAGCACCCGGAGCGCTGGACCTCTGCAAGAACAGCCGCACCAAGCAGAGCCCAAGGTCTGCCCCCCCTGCTCCATAGGACCCTAAAAAACCGCTCTCCCAAGAGAGATGTTTCCCAAACACCCGGAGGCAGGGGGTTTGGAATCGGGATGCGGGCGGGAAGCAGCGGGTTTGGCTCATCCCGCTGCAGAGCCAACCAGCACTGCGGCTCCTGCGCCCCAAGTTGCGCTGGCGCCGAGGGCTGGATGCGCTCGGGTTTTGGCTGAGCGGGGTGATAAGCCCGGCTCAGCAGGAGGGTGGGCGCTCAGCATCCCCTACAGATCCTTTCCCCCAAACTCAAACAGCAAAGGGAAAAACAGAGGGAGGCGAGAAAGCGAGGGATGCAGGAAGGTGGGGGAAAGAAGGCACGGCGAGGGCAAAAAAGCGGGGGAGGAGGAGGCGGCACTCACCGAGCAGCAGCAGCGGGAGCAGCGGCAGCAGCCCCGGAGCCCGCATGGTGCTTCCCGGCCGTCCCGCCGCTCTCCCGACGCTCAATCCCGGCGGGGCGGGCGGGAGATGCCCTCCCTCCCTCCCTCCCTTCCCCGGCCACTGCCCTCCCTCCTCTCCCTTCCTTTTCCCCGGTCCTGGCCGGGCCCCCCCTTCCCCCGCCGGGGGAGGCGCGGAGCGGCCCCGACCCGCCCCTGCCTCCGCCCCCGGTGCGGGGGGAGAGAGCGGTGGGATGGGGATGGGGATGAGGAGAAGGGGATCCACCTGCCGAGGGGATGTGGGGTTGCGTTAGGACGGGGGTGTGCGGGGGGATTTGGGGTTCTCAGCTGCATGGGGGAATCTGGGGGTTTTGGTTGGGGGTTTTGGGGTGGGGTGGGGGTATTTGGGGTTCTTCACTGCACGGAGGGATTTGAGGATTTTGTTAGAACAGGGGGTTTGGGGGGATTTGGGGCTCTCAGCTGCATGGGAAGGATTTGGGGTTTCATTGGGATGGGATTTTAGGGGGGATTTGGGATTCTCAACTGCATGGGAAGGATTTGGGGGTTTCATTGGGATGGAGATTTAGGGAGGAATTCGGGGTTCTCACAGTATGGGGGGTTTTAGGGGTTTTGTTGGAGTTGAGAGGTTGGGGAGGATTTGGGGGTTTTATTGGGATGGGGGGATTTGGAGTTCCCAACTGTGGGGTGGATTTTGGGGGTATCGTTGTATTTGGGAGGTTGGGAAGGATTTGGGTGTTTCATTGGGATTGGGATTTGGGGTTCTCAGCTGCATGGAGGGACTTGGGGGGTTGGTGGAGTTGGGAGGTTGGGGAGGATTTGGGGGTTTCACTGGGGTTGAGGTGTGTGTGTGGATTTGGGGTTTCTTTGGGATGGGGGTGTGGGGGAGATTTGGGGTTCTCAACCGCATGGGCAGACTTGGGGGTTTCATCAGGACTGGGGTTTGGGGTTGTATTTGGGGTTCCACCTGTATGAGGGGATTTGAGATTTTAGACAGGGTGGGAGATTTGGGGAGAGTTTGGGGGTTTCATAGAAGTTGTGAGATTGGGAGGAATTGGGGAGGGGGCTTGATGTCATCAGTTGGATAGGGGCATTTAGGGGGTTCATTGGGTTTGGACTGGGTTTGGGGTTTTTGTCAGGGCAGGGGCTTGGGAATGTTTAAGGTTCTCAACTGCAGGGGCAATTTTGGGGTTTCACTGAAGTTGGGAGGTAAGAGAGGATTTAGGGGTTTTGTTGGAATGGAGGTTTGGGGGGATTTAGGGTTCTCACCTGCATGGGGGGATTTGGGGGTTTCTATGGGTTTGGGGTTTCCATGAGATTAGGGACTTCAGGGTTGACATTTGGGACTCCTGGCTTGATAGGGGAAAAGTAGAGATTTTGTTGGGATAGGAGTCAGAGATGGGACATTTGGGACTTCTGGCTGGATGGGGGGGAAATGAAGGGTTTCTTTAGGATAGGGATTTGGAATATTCATCAGGATGAGGACTTTGGAAAGATTTAGAGGTTTTGTCTGGGTGGGCAGTTTGAAAGGGGATTTGTCATTCCCATCTATATGGATTGAGGTTTTCATTGGAATTGTGGGATTGGGGAGGATTTGGGGTTTTCATTGGAATGACAGGAGTGAGGATGATTTGGTATTCCCACCTGCATAGTGGTGATTTGGGGGGTTCATTGGAGTTCAGAGTGGATTTGGGGTTTTCACTGGCGGGGAAGACTTGCAAGGGACTGTAAGTTTTTGTCTGGATGGGGGTTTGTAGATTGGTTTTGGATTCCCACCCACATGAATAAGGATTTGGGATTTTCATCTGGATGAGGACTTGGGGATCAGTTTGGGATTGCTGCCTGCGTGGGGAAAATGTGTGGGTTTTATAAGGATGGGCATTTGGGGGTGGATTTGGGATTTTCATCTGGATGGGGGTTTGGGACTTGATTTCAGATTCACATCCAGGTGTGGTTTTTTTGAGATTTTCATCTAGATTGGGTTCATTTTGGGATTCTCACTGTGGCTGGGGGTTTCTTTGGAGTTTTTATCTGAAGGTGGGGGGTTAATTTGGGGTCACTTTCTCCATTTTGCCCCATCCAAACACACACACAAGTTCTCCAATAGTACAAAATCCTCCTGATCCCTCTTCCCCACAGTGACTGTACCTTTTCAAAAGATTATATCTAGGAAAGATTTGCACCAGTTTGGAATGTCTCAATGGAACAACACGCCCAGAGTATGAGGGAGACAAAATTATTATCAGATCTTGGCATTTCTTGTGGCAAGAGGGAAGGGTGCTGAAAGTTTTTTCTCTGATGTTCAGACTGCAGCTGGGAGGAGACTAAAAATAAGCTCAGAGCTTTGCACTGAATCCCTCTCCTGGATTTGACAGATCCAGCTAAACCAGGAACCTTCCCAGCCTGGACCCAGGGGTGGTAAAAATAACCCTCCCTCCAAAAAGGACCTTTCAAATATGTTTTTCTTGATGCCTTCACTTAAAGGTGGTCTTTCTTCTTGTCGCAAGGTCACCTTGAGAAGATGAGGAGGTGCTTGGGTTGGCTGGCTCACCCTCCCTACCTGCTTTGCATTTGCCCCCAGAAATGGCTTCTTGTCCTGATTTTGGCTTCTGGACCAGTGCAGAGAGACTTTCCCTGTGCCTCAGCCCAGCCTCACCTCCTCTTACTACAGCTCTGCATTACACAGCCCTTAAAAGCTGGGAAACTCAAGCTGCAATAAGTGAATGAGTGTGTTGATTCAGATCATTCATCCTACCAGTATCAGACAGGCAGTTTCTTCTCCCCCTGCAGAGCATTTTTAATAACAGATCACATTTACACACACACACACACACACACACAAGCACACTCTCCCAATCAGCATATTTTGGTTTAAACTGCCAAGTCAAAGCAGCCCAGGGGAAAACCTGAGGTGCTCCAGCGTAGCAGTGTGCCTGGGATGGAGAGGAGGGAGGGGATGCCGAGCTCCTCAAACTCTCTATGGCACACTGCAAAAATATCCTGGCCACTGGTTTTATTGTGCAGTGTTTGTGATGAGAGTTAGGAGAAGAATTCCACCTGGCTGGTGCCCTCAGCAGATCTGGGCTGTGCTGGTCCTTCAGCCCCGTGCAGGGAGGAGGGACCCTGAGCACCTGATGCCTGAGTCCTTTTAAACTGCTGGTTTGGGATGTGGGTTTGCCCTTAATTATCACAGCCCTGGCACTCAGGCAGGGAGTTGTGTCAGTTCTCAGCCTGCCTGTTGGACACGCTGCTCATCCCTTGCCAACAGCGAGTGTTGGCTGCCGGCAGCCGCCGCGGTGGGTGAAACAACGGCATTCCAAGAGTCTCCACTTCTTGGAAAAAACTGATTCATGCAGAAACACAGTGCTAAGCTTCCCCTTTTCAAGGGGGGCAGCACAAAGGTCTGGCTTTATTCCTGCTGCTTTGCAGGGTACAGGCGTCGGCTCGGGATCTGCCTCTCGCCTCTGCCTCGAAGGGGATAATTGCTGAGAGGGTGTCAGATCAGGGCTATGAATCATGAGCAGCTGAAGGAGAAGAGAAAAGGGATATTTAGGGTGGCTGCTTCCAGAGCTGGGTGTCTGTTAAAGCGTATCCCACTCCAGTGTTTTACCGTCAGCCTGGGAAAAGGTCAGAAAAAGCCCTAATTTGGGAAACTGGGAACTTCCAGGGGTGTCAAAAAGGTGTTTCACAGAACTATGTAAACAGTCTTTGATGCCCAGTGCAGCATTGCTCACCGGGAGCTCTGTCACGAGTGTCCCAGCTCTGGAGGTTTTCCTAAATACCAACATCACAAGGTCAGGAAATTATGTGAAGGCTTTTGCTTTCAACTCCGAACATGAAAGTCATGTTTTAGAGGTGTAGAGAAACGCTTCAGAGAGTGGCCTGCACATGTGAGGAATGGGGGCAAAAAATAGGAATTTACTTTAAAATTTATTATTAACATTATTATTATTATTATTATTTAAAAATCTCATGGGCTGAAGTCAGTCAGGTGTCATTTTTAATCCCGGCTTTGCACACAGATTGACATGTACCTGGTTCTGTGTGTACCAGCTAAATATTTGTCTAAGACTGTGAGAGAGCGGGACAGGGAGTCGGTGGTTTCGAGGTATGTGAGTCAGCTGGGCTGAGATGGCCTCAGGAGGAGGAATATTTCACCTGACACATGATTTCCTTGTTGGAGAAATCCCAAGATGCTCTTTTGTTTCCCCAAAAGGGGTATGAAAACCCCATTTCTTCTGCAATTCAAAAGTAAGCTGGGCAAAGGAGGAGAAAACAGAGGGTAGGAGTTGCTGTTGGTGGATAAATTCCCAGTGACAGTTTTATCTTGTAATTCCTTCTCAGCTGTGTTCAGACTCATAACATTTGACTGACGTCTCCAGGCAGCCTTGCAGTATTTACCTCTTTTCACAGAAAATGACTGAGGAAAGCGACGCAGCAGGAAAATCCTCAGGCTGAGATCCAGCTCAGGATCACTCAACTCGCCAGTAATCCGGTTTTATTGGATGTCGTCACCCATTTCCTCGTGCGGTCGGGCACAAAGTAATAATGTTTGGAATTCGGATTCGGGGTTAAGATGGGAAGATGAAGGGGCAACACACACAGAGAGCTGATACCTCTGACGTGAGCAGCGGTGCGAGCAACAGCACGTGGGCTCCTGGGGTGAGGATCACTAGTAGTTATTTCAGGAAAGAAGGAAAGCAAAAAAACACAAAAAAAACAAAAAAACAAACCAACTCTCAAACTACCCTCCTTTTTATTAAGAGGCAAAAATACCTGTGGTCTGACGTTTGTATTTGTATTTCAGAAGATGGGGAGTCAGAAGTATCATGTGGCAGTCTGTTCCTTAGCCTGCAGCTGACCCAGGAGGAACTAAAATGCAGCTTTGCCTCAGGAGCAGGAATTGTCTTGAGAAAGCTAAGAACAGTCCAGGATACCACTCACAATGCCAGCTGTCTTTTCCTGAACTCCTAGGAGTGAAGAGGCAAAAATCCCATAGGTATTAGACAAAGACTTCTAAAATGGGGGTTCAGCTCTGAAATAATCTCCTGATCTCAGCTGTGATCCTTTTTG